CAGTCTTTATTATGCTGTTCTCTTAAGAAGTGAAGTGTTACCACAATGAAAAAGTTTCGTGGAACAGAAGTGAAAAGTAATCGATAAACGTGAGGTGGACGTATAATTTTGGGACGTCGGCTGAGTGGCCTTTTACACAAAAATTATTGGGAAAAATTCCTGTGATCTCAAATAGAAAATTGATGTTCATAGGCAATTGCGTATTTATATGCGATACATTGTCACATAGGAGACTTTTTTCGAAACATCTGTATTTCTGAGATTTTGGGAAATTCTTAGGTGGACGTATAATTATGGGACGCAGTGTATTTCCTTCTTTCATTCCCCCACCCACACCGATAAATGGCGCATTTCGCCCAGTGTGGATGCGGTCAAAAGTCTGCAAACGATAAATATGGGACCCGCAGTGTAGCTCGGGTTTTGAGTGTTGCTTTTTTTTGAGTGTTCTAAAGCCAGTTCTATTTAACAGCAGACATTTCACATTTGTATTGACCAACCAAAAAGTGTGTAAAATTAGTTATGACAGAGCGAATGGGTGACAGCAGCGTCCGTTGTTGGTCTTTGTTATTATTCCCCTCTCGCCTTCTATCGTAGAAATAAGACCCCTTGTCGAGGGTTTCCCCAAGCGTTGTTCACCCTGGCGTGGAGCATAAGCTCCGTGCGAAATGCGTGTCGGCACGCACTCTTAGGATGGTCCCCTGTCCCACTAGGTACCAGTGCTCGATCGTCGTCCTTACCGTGGAATCCTTCAATTGCATGGCTTGAAATGACATGAAAGACAAAAAGGAAAACAACGTAAAGCTTGAACAATCATGCTCCAAAAGAAGGCGAATCAAAAACTAGACACGCAAGGAGAAAGGTAGTAGAAATCAACATGCAGTGATTCGACTAATAAGAGCATTAGTAAGAAGAGGTCAGGAGTAAGAGTGAGGATGACGACAAAATTCTTTTGGAAGCTGAAAAACAACCACACCTGCTTTTCGCACCAGCATTTCCTTAACACGTTGACGACAACGCGAGTTTTGGCTTTTTTGGCCACGTGGGACCGCGGCGATTTTGCGGGCGCGCTCGCCTCAGGTCGTTCAAGCAGATTTTGAGTGATAAATACACAACTAATGATCAATTCAAAACCAATCAGTAAATTGTAATGAGCGCAACCTAACCAGGGGTACAGTAGTGGAATTTCGATCGAAAGACATGGAATAACAATGAAAAAGCGAAATTTTCAGAACTAGCTGCAATGGACCTCAAAAGCAATTTTACGTTGATTATTCCAATCAAAACACACATATTGTCATCCCTAAGGTTCCGTATCTACTTCTACTACTATTTAAATCTTCACATTCATAAAAAGAAAAAGTAAACGAAAAATTATTGAAATGAAGATTTCGTATGGTTCAGAAATCCTCCTCTAAATTAAGCATACGTGACCATTCTATGGCCACTATGTTTGTAGCTACGTCAAGGTCTCTTCCATGGAATGAATGCAAGAAACTTTTAAAAGGAACCTGCCGCGCAATGCAAAAAAAATGAGCGAATGGGTGCGGGCGTCAACCCTACGTTGTTACGAGTAACAACGGGGGGGTCGTACCTGGTTGAGTTTGTAGGAGGGGGGGGTCGTACCCACTTTAGTCGCTCGAAATCACGTGTGGGATTGAGGTGAAACTAAGATTTCGTGGGTAGTAGGCTGTGCGAGTGGAGGGCGCGCAAGATAAAAATTTGCCGTTTCAGCGGGCGTATATACCCCTCCGCCCTAGAAAAGGAATAGTGGGAGTATATAAGAAATTCGGTGACGATCGGCGGAAATAGAAATTGTGGGAGATATTTACCGTTTCAGAGTGACTATATACCCCCGCTCTCGACGGCATTTTTGGAGGAAAAAGTGGGCGGGGTTTTAGATGGAAGATGGAGATGGTGGAGGTAGGGGAAAGGGGGTCGTATCAAATCACCACGTTGGGGGAGGGGGGTCGTAAAGATTTTTCGAAAAGTAACAGCGATAGGACTGACCCTGGTGCGGGGGATATATATCCCGCACGTCTGACGTGGTCCGCAATGCGCTGGATATGTATCCCCCGCGCTGTCGTCAATCTGTTAACACGTTGAGGACTAAGGAAGATGAATATCAACGTCGTTCGCTCAAGGGTCCAGGGGTAACTTTTTGGGGATCTGCGTTATGTGTGAGTGCGCCATGCTCAGATATTTTTACAAAAGACGTGGTTTCTAGATATAAGCTTTCTTAACCGAGTTATTGAGTTTTTTTTTAATGGGCAACTCCTGATCAAAGAAACGAAAATTAACAAGAATTCTAGTCTTTTCTAGATTTATCGATGGAAGATGTGTAGAACTTGCATACACTCGCGCAACACTACTATGCGAATACTGCACACTCGTAAATTGTGATAATTTTGAGGTTTTGATAACCTTTCTTAAATTTTGGGCGAGTTCCTTCAAGTGAGAGCATAATAGCCAGAGATATGAACTCAGCTGGTTTGTGAGAGAATGGGTAGTTGGAGACATACTCATTGGAACTCCTCCAAAGAAACCATCAGCTTATCGTGTTTGTTTGTTCGTTTGGATCTGATTTGCTTTTCGTCGGTCCGCGTGCTCCTTGTCGGAGCTTCCAAACAAGTGACGTAGATGGGTGCAGAGTTGCCCTTCCGGCAAGCACGGTAACGGGAAACAATCGAAAGAATGCATAGTGCTCAACAGAAGGTGCACTTGCATATCGGCCAACTTGCTAAAACCACAATTTCGATTACACTGGGATCGTTGTTGTGAACAAGATCCAGGCAGACGTATAGGGTAAGATCAGGACAGGCCCACTGATTCATTACACTCCTGGCCGTTCGGCAAGAATAACCGACGAAGGGGTCGTATTTGCCAATGGAAGAGAAGAGGTATCATCAAAGTACCACTTCATCAATGGAAGTACCACCATGCGTGGCTAAGTGCAAATGCGAAGACTTTCAACTGCACGTGTTACCACACCACAGACCTAAGCCATTCAGCATCCTAAAATAACATCATCTGCCAGTGAGCACATGCGAATTTTTTTTCAGAGATGCTCCCCATGGATTTTAGAACAAATCCAAAGTGCAGAAAGTGCCAGCGCGAACACGCCGATCCAGGCGCACACCGGTACTAATAGAAGCCTTCAGCAGAAAAGGTTTCTCTTCAAGGCAGTCTGCATATCCACACATAGACCGATCCTGCTGATTTCAGTGGTCTTTACCGCTTCTCAATGCATCGACTTTGAAGAAGCTTATGGCCATCCGAATATTGAAAAGTCGCGTTTCAAGAAAATTGCCTAAAAAAGCGTTGTGGGAAAAGAACGAAGCAAAGGGACGACTTTATAAGCAGTCATGTCATACTCAGCAAAAATCTTATATTTCCACAAGCGTCCAGTTTATTATTTCTTAATTAGCTTTAAAATCTGCAAAAAAATTAATACACGCGAGAAAAGTTCGAACTGATGACGACGGTCGACGTTGTTCTCAAAAATCGACACCACAATACCCATGAAAAAATAAACAATAGACAATTTCAGAAGAAAGTGATTCCTATGGGAAACAACGTCCGATACTTTTTTGAAGGCGCTAGTCTTCTAGATCCGTATTAGCTTTGAAAAGCTGCAAAAGTTGAAAATGAAGGAATTTATAAACCTTTAAGTGATGGAAAACTCGCGTGTGCACAGAAAACGGAAGAAACGGAACAATTCTTTTGAAAAATTAAACATCTGCATAAGTTTAAAAGTTTTTTTTTCAGAAAGAAAAGTCGTAGTTTTTGAATTTCGGTATCCCACTGAGACCGCTTTTGAAGAAAGATATAACTTTTACGTGAAGAGGTTTGCATCGCAACGTGATTGCTTATTAAATCAGTTATTCAGTTTATTAAGAAAAGGAGCTTTGCGAGTTAGAAAAAAACCTTCTTGTTTCTGAAAGTAGAAATCTCTGCGATTGCTACAATAAGTTTACGCAAAAATTTGGAAATTCCTTCTATTTAATGAGTAAAATTTCATGTTGCCTCGATTCCCGTCCTCTGAGCGAGACAAAGCGCGCGGATTTACCACGGTCCACCACTTCTCCATGTCGGTGACTGCCCATACATCGATGATGGGCATTAAAATATGTGAAAGACAATAGCTAAGGTGGGGGTCGTACTGATACCCTCCGAAGGGGGTGTAAAAATTTTGAAATTTGCGCAACGCACGGTTGACCCTGCAATGGACAACACCTTTGTGTAACTCAAGTTATCGTATGAAGCGCGCATTATCGTACGCAGCTGAACATAGCAGTTATGTGAACGGACATATCACAGGCTTCAAACTCTTTACACTCCTAACCCATCGATTGCTATCGATAGAAAGTATAAGGTTTGTCGCAGAACGTAGAGGTTAAAAACAGGGTAACGGGGACAAATGGATTGATGGCATCACACGGCATGGGCAAGGTTTAGGTACAAATCGAACAATAGCGATGCTCGAATCTTGCCAACCCTAGCCACCTATTCCTCGGGTTGGTTGACGGTGTCATACCTGTCTTATTGCCAGAGAACGACTTGTATCCTACTCGCATGCATAATGTGACTACGATTTTTAATGGATTGAGAATACGTTGCGCATCTCAGAAAGAGATTGATCAATGCATAACGTTGTCTCTCTACCTTATTAATATTATACAAACATCATTTAAATTAGATCATGGCAAAGCTAATTCTTCAAGAAAACCTTTACGTGAACACAATACATGTACTTGCGAGAAAGTTAAGAGTAGCTTACAGTTAGATCTTTTCAGAAGACACAGCTTCTAGGCAAATTCCGTAGGATACTGTGATGCCATTTTAGTGAACAACTATTAAAAAACGGTGTGGCTTCGTTCGCAGCGCCAGGCCACCCACTATCGATCGCCTGTGTTGTCTTCTCGGGTCCCGATGGGTGCCACCACAATGACACTATCTGTGACACGAGTTTCATTTGTGGCATCGTTAGCACCAGTCTGAAAATGACAAAAGATGCAGAGTCTCATCTTCTTCACAAAGCGCACGACAGAAAACCGGAAATCGCTGTAAGTATTGATTGGTTGAACCTTACACTCAGTATGCAATACATAATTAACTTTCTCTTGCACGATCGATGGTGCTGCTTTCAATAACAGATTAGTCCGATATTTATCATCTCTTAGTTTAATCCTCAGACACCATCTATCTTTTCTTCCACCGACTGTTTGCACATCTACGCCAGAAATCTATGAAAACATTTTTCTTTGATGTTCTTTCCTTCAGCTACCGCTTACTTTTTAATGGCTCTAGGAGTTAATCTGAAAGCAAAAAAAAAATAGAAGCTCTGTTCACACTGTTCTAATACTGTTTTTTTTTTACACTAACTAACACAAACAACTCTAACTCTAACTAACAACCACTCTTCTTTTTTTTCGTTCTGCTGACAAATATTACTCTGCACCATTTCTCTGACCAGGTAAGGTCTTTCAGGGTGGTGACAAGCTTTTTGAAAACGGTCTTTTGCATGATATAGGGGCAGATGCGGGAACCACAGAACCATGTTAATTTTTCCTGAACGGCCCTCTGAATACCAGAAAAGGGGTCCCTAGTTCGATTCCTCGTGGTGACAAATTTTTGCATTTCGAGTTGACGTTTCAAAATTCGCGCAAAATGGAGTTAGCATGAACAATGAATGCCATATTCATAATTAGGACCGTCAGTAACCACGTCAACTCGAAATGCAAAAGTTTGTCACCACGAGGAATCGAACCAGGGACCCCTTTTTTGGTATTCAGAGGGCCGTTTAGGAAAAATTAACCATTGTTCTGTGGTTCTCGTGCCCCTACATCATGCAAAAGACGGTTTTGAAAAAGCTTGGAACCCTGAAAGACCTTCCTGGTGAGTTTTGCCCACCACAGTGATCACAATAATATTTGAAAAAGCGTTTTTGACTTCTCCAATTCATGAATCCATTTTTTCGATTTTTGATTTCGGGGATCTTCTTGTTGTTTGGGAGAACACTTTCTAACATTCGCTTCGATAAAAAATCATTGAAAAATCATATTGTACACATGTATGTAAGGTTGGCTGAATAGCAAAAAAAGTTGTTGCATTTCCGGTGGAACTGGAATACAGTGTCAATGCAGCCAAGGTCTTTGTGCTGTGTACGATACTGAAACAATGGTGTTCAACATAAAAAATTGATTAGTCATATTCCAAATTTGAGCACAGGATTAACACCTTGACGACAGTGCGGCAACTATGTTTGCCGCGTTTTGCACAATGGACATTGTGGCAACTAGTTGCCACACCCATTACATTTATTTTTTGCGCACATGCCCGATTTCTTCCCAGGTTTTTTGTGTTCATTTTATAGGCCATACACAACATAACCAAGAACCACGTGGCTTATAGAATGACCAAATATTCTTTAGTTTGGCAGAGGTTTTCCAGACCTTACGAAAATGTCTGTTCAGTTCATTCCTCATTTTCTTTTCATTAACGTGAACATGTAGATAAAAAAGAATAATAGAAGTGAATACAAACCTATTCGTATGGAAGATATGTGTTTTTACTGAAACAACCACGTCCAAAATAATTTTGGAATCACTAAAGGAAAGTAAGTAAAATTTGCCTTTTCATGGCCACAACACGTCATTTCGACCAAACTTACTACAATCGTATTTCCGATCCGTTTAACACATGGAATATCATCGAAAGCATTATGTCGCATTCGTGCCTTGCGTATTTAAAGCTCAAAATCCATGATTTGATGTGAGGCGGCGGCGCTCGCAGAAGCGCTCTTGTCCCACGCGGCCAAAAACCCAAAACGCGCGATGTCGTCAACGTGTTAAAACAACCAGGAGATCAGAGTTCCTTAAAGGACGAATTCACGCTGAAAAAGGCAACCCATTTCAAATTAACCTAGGGATGGTGAGTGGTACACGAAAGAAGGAAGAACCATGAGAAACGGCCCAGAACCCGAGAAATGGGACCCCTTCCTTGCCCGTTGATTTGAGCATTGATGCGACTCTCATCGCTGTGCCCTCTTCAACACTACGCTCTCTCTGCTATCTAATCAATCGCCACGTATAGACTGCGGCGAGTGATCAGATGATCGGTGGGCGGAGATCGCCAGACCCGCCAACTTTGAGGCATGATAGGTCGCCGAGGTCAAATTTTTCGATGCGAATTGCGCATCAGTTCGCACCCTCAGGAGGTCCGTGGGTCCCTCAACTAGGTCAATTACTTCTTCCTCGACCTCCATTCTAATCGTGAAATCCTCCTTTAAAGAGCCAATTGTCAACACTCTTTCGACAGCTCCCTTTGAGATAAATGCAAATAAATTCTATATTAAGATGGCGATCAGCCGGGCTCTTCAACTACATGAAAACCACCGAAAAGGTCGGAAAAATAAAAAAAAAGTTGGAGCCACAATTTTGGAAATGTGAAGAGATTTCGTGTGACTAACCAGCGTTATTGTCAAGAGTCCATCTTAAAAATTTATCGTCACATTCACTGTTCGTAGGACCCAGCTCTTCTTCAATTTTTGTGCTTCATGTTTCATTTAGAGGATGAGATCCCCCGTGTCGGCGTGGATTACTGGATTGGCCACTATAATGGCAATTGTTGCTTGCTTGGCTTTCAGTATATTTTTCCATAGAGCACTTAGTGGCTTCTCTAAACAGGTACGATTATGGAAACATTGTTCTACTTACATAAATAGTAGCTACTATGCCCCTGACTTTGACCGAGTTCTACCTTGTTAAAGAGAGTTAAGGTCTGGGTAGTCTTTGAGGAGATTGACGACAATTTTCAACATTTCTTTCCCATTTGCAAGTCAATAAGCAAGCCCTTACTGAGTTAATGAGTTGTGCGACAACAATAAAGCACAAAAACCTTTTTGGCTTGATAAATTATCTGTTTTCCGGCATTCTTGCGACATTCTTCCGATTGTTGTTTTCACTTTGGCTCTCATTTCGCCACCATCATGCCCGGTGTCCAGCTTACAGTAAATATGCTACATGCCAGTACTCCCTACCTGCAGCTCCTAGGGACCACTTCCTGAGCCTCCGGCGTTCAAAGTCTTCTTCTCAACCCAATCTAATACATGTTTTTGGCGTCGTAACTCCAGTCTCTTCGGTATCCAGCCACTAGCGGTTCATGTTGTATCAACATAAAACATGTACATACTTCTGAGTCCTGCTGATCAGGTTGTCGAGGTGCTTCTTTTCTAGAGAGGGGTGAGGAGATCCACGCACATCGAGGGACTCCCAATTGAAGATGATGTGTGAATGACTCGTGAGGTACCTGAGAGCTAAATTTTCAGTTTCCCAAACCGTACAACAATTGTGCGGTCGCGGTTATGTGATACCCAAGCTGCTCTGGCATACAGCAGTCGGCGGATCGGCTCCCTCCAGGGGGAGAGGTCATCGATGGTAGCTTCAGGCGAGCAAACCAACGAAGGCTGGTGGCGTGGTGGACAGCGGTAGAGCTCCTTGTTGTGTTCATTCGCACAGCCATTCGTGCTGGAGCTTAGGCGGTACTTGTGATCAAATGGCACCCGAAGGCCATCTCAAGAAATCACATTTTATCGGCTTTCAATCGCAACGGAACTGTTCAATAATACCGAGGTCTCTCTTCTAATGCCATCCACGGAAGTTTCAAAATTCCAAGAAATAACTTCGAAAAAATTCGAAAATGTCGCCAACCTAATATGGCATTTTAATACACAGTTATGTAGGTATTCGAGTTAAGTAATTTAAAGCCACGTTCATGGGATAGGCACGCTCACCCACCATACACTCCTTCTTCCGCAAGCCCCGCCTCCCGCTGTCGATGCCCTGTGACGCTGCTTAAAGGAATCTTGCGCGGAAAATTCTTGCACTCTTTCCTAACATGAATATGTCAGTTGTGATCACTGGAAATAGCACACAAAGTTTCACGCATGAAGATTCGGTTTCTGAAGAGAAACAAACGTACAAAAACTACACGTTATGGACCATCGAAGGACCAGGAGGCAGAGCCAGGCGAGGCATGGAAAGAAGACGGCGTTTGGCCGGCTACGTACCAGGCGACGCAATGAGAGAATCGGGTTAAAGCGCGCGATTTCGGAGAGTGGAGACAAATCGATCGATGGAATAGGATGGAGTAGAAGTGTAAGATGTGAATGCAACGAAGCAGAAGGCCAGAAAGAGCTTCTAGTGAATGCACTCCAAGAACCAAGTTTGAGCATCCCCGTCGCCAGCATTCGTGAAAGACGTCCGTGGGCAATTCGAACGCGTAGCAGCCTTTTCGAGTTTTCGAATTTCTAATCAAAACGAAAGCAATACTTCAGTTCTTTTCACTATTATCGTGGATAATGAGTCTCAAGCCAGTGATTTATGGCTGAAATAGAATCATGATTTTTCCGCGCAAGATTCCTTTAAGAGCGCGGACGCAGTTGTGGTGGCGGTTGCATTGCTGTTCAATACCATTGGCTTTGGAGCAAGTGGAGCTAGGTTCACGAAACTCGTCTTCCTTTCCGCTATCAGCATTGCTCGCATCTTTTGGGGATGGTTACTGCCGTATCAATAAGAGAATTTCGATCCAGTCAAATCAGTCTTGAAATGTGCCATAAATAATATTTTGAGGAATTAGTGGTTTCAGCTATGCTCTTGCACTATGAATAGCACCTATAAATGACAAGGTCAATTGGTTCTCTCACCAGTCTGGAATTCTGCTAAATCTTCTTGTTTAAATATATTATGTACATATAAGTATCACTGCAGGCAGAATTACCAGAAAAAAGAACAGTTCCAGGTCAACGCATTCGTTTCTGTCGGTGACTTCAGTTCAGTTCTATTGCAAGCTGTTGTTTTTGTCGTTTCTGCTGCGGTGGTCGTCTACCTACTGTTTGTTTACCTGGCGTCTGGTGAGCATTTGTTTCTTTCAACTACGATAATATCTACTTTTCGTCAGTGTTTTCTTCTTACAGGTGATACCAACTGACCATTGATAAGTACTTAGGTTAGCGCGGTGCTTGTAGAAGAGAGCACGACATACACAGTTTCCTGTTCTGTTGCGGTAGACCCGATATGACCACCTCGGCGCGAATATAGCTCGTACACTGTTCGAGTTGGACTGCACGAAGGTTTCTTGAAATGTCAGAGGCTTCCTGCAATGACTGCTTCGAAAGTTAAACAATGGTAGGGTTGTTACAAACAAACAAACAAAGAGGGCTGCCACTCCACAAATTCGAAAACACTGGTGCAGCACGAATCGTGAATCCTTTCCTGGTTGCAGTCGGACAAACTCGGCCTTCAACAAAACCTTCAACAAACCCTTCAACAGAAACAAAAAGAATCAACGCAGTATAAAGGATAAAGGATAAAGCATTTGCCGTTGATCAATCCCTTTTTGGGATGCGGCACGCATTCTACTTCCATTTGTACATTCGTAGTGGCGTTTGAATGCGATGTGGCCTATACAATGACTTGCGGGGCCAGCCGATGTACAAGTCAGTGTTTTTCCTCCCAGACAAGTCTGGTACCAATTAACCGACCCCGGAGGGATGGAAGGCTTGGTTGGCCCGGGCGACTCACGACCCAGGATTTGATCCCCGGACCGCTCGCGTGGTAAGCGTGCCCATCAACGCAGTAAACGAGCGTAATATTGGCAATGTCTCTGTTCATAGAATTCCTAATTGAACTCCATCATGCTGATAAGTAACAACGTCTGATAGGGCAGATTCTCTCCAAGGAGGGAAGGAGTGTGTGTCGGCGTGGAAGCGTAGCCCATCAGCGAGCTATGATTCGTATCGAAGATGGCTATGTCGAATTACCGTGATTTGAGATATTCTGTAGCTAAGATTCGAAGAAATGTGCTTGTAAAAAGTAATCAAGTTCTATCTCGAATTCCGCTCTCTGTGTCATTACATTGATCCTTAAAGGAATCTTCCACGGAAAAAGCTCCGCCTCCATTACCACAGAAAAACGATACCTTAGGCCCCTAGCCTCATGAGCATAGCAAAAAGAACGGAACATAAGCGTTAGTTTCGATAATACTAATCCTACACACAAGACAAAATGATCACTCTTTCCGTGGAAGATTCCTTTAAGGTATCGTTTTCTGTGGTAATGAGGGCGGAGCTTTTTCCGTGGAAGATTCCTTATAATTGGGTACCCAATTGGAGGGCATATGTGCATAGAACTTCGCAGTCAGAAAGTGCTTATAAATGCCGTTCACCAACAAATTGAGAATGGAATAACTATTCAGAGTATATTGCTGGTCACAACTTGCCACGAATCGAGAAATAGTTCTCTGGATGGTGTGGGCACTGTTAAAAAATGATTTTCTTTTCAGGAGTACACAACATGTCTTATAGGTTACCATGAAGGAAGTGCAGTAGAATGGTAGAGATAGTTAGGAAGGGAAAGTAATTGAAAAAAGAATCGTCTGGGAAGAAGAGTCGAAAAAGTGCACTCATTACTATCTGATAATGTACGTGTTCAGCTCGAATATTTTCAAACGTGCTAGCGGTCTGTGGTTCACCCTGCCTTCTGTTCTTCTCATCGTTTGGCTCTCAAGGCTTCCTTATACTATGGGTCCTGATGTTGTGCTTTGTGTCTTCAGTGTCCTTAGGTAAACGTTTTCAGGTGCTTTGTTTTTTTTTATTTTTGAAAATTTCCTCATCATGCTTTCAAGACCGATCCTCACAAAACAAATCTTATAACAGAAACAGTAGACGTAGAGAGGTGGGCGCAAATCGTGGAACTCTGCTCCTAATCACTAATTTTTGGTCTCTTCGAGGTTCTTTTTTCTCGTTTATGTGTTTTTTTTTGTGTAATGCTTCATTTTTTCGTTTTTTGTGATGTCGTAAAACCGCATTAGAAGCCAGGAATTCAAAATGATAATATCGTCTCCTTATTCGTGAGTAACACCCACAAGGTGTTTCGGCGTGGAACATGGAACTGATCAAAGTCGACGAGAACAAGACCATGATGTGCTGTAGCATTCGAAAATTCTCACTCCAGGGAAGCTTTTCTAACGGACCCGATCTGAGCAGCCGCTGTCATCACCGCATCCATTTTGAGTAGTATTGCGACCGCTCGCGAGATGACCACAATGCCCTCGAAAAGCTTCCAGTCCTCTCGACTACATGCTCCTGGAAACCTGGCGTCCGAAGCTCGCAGAAGCCACTCAAAATTATTGAAATTTTTCTGCTAGTTAGAGCCCGAAATGAACCTAATGGCACTTGCCACTGGATGCCTCCCTTAAAGAAAGAAAAAACGATAAAGAAGGAGCCATCGAAGAAGTATATGCGCCACATGAAGCAGTAGCTTGGCTGCCAAGGAAGCGAGATGTGGCGCTTTCACGACGAAAGGTGCGCTGGTTGCTGAGCAGACTTCGAAAACCACGCTGCCGTTTAAACGCTCCACCCACAGTTCAACTGTTGACTTGGGCAAGCTGTTACTAGCAGCGATACGATTGGCGCAACCATTCACTGGAGTATGGTTTGCCAAGGTGCCACCAAACGCCTTCGGTAGATTCTTCATACGCCCTGTACTGGCCATTGTCCGTCCATCAACGGAAATCAAAGGCTAGACAAGGGATATCGTTCTGCGTTCTCTTGAAGGATTTCTCTGCTTTTTCCGCGAACCATGTACCACTGAGCGCCGCCACCCTCTCTAAACTCCTCCAGAACCTATCGTAACCGCTGCGTAACGACTTAGGGCTCCACATCGATACTTGCTAAGATAGTTTTGAATATAAGTGAGGTTAGTCCTCGGCTAGAAGCGCATGATTCTTGTTTAAAGGACGCGAACTTATCAGTTACTCGTCAGATTCGAGAATTTTGCTGGATTACTGTGATTTGGTCCGACCTTTTCACACTTATTGTTTCAATGCTATACTATTTTGTCCAGATTGTCCTGCGACATTTCGTACAAATTTTGTAGGCAAACCCGGAATCCTTTTCAGCTTTTCAGACGTTATTATTGTATCCTCTGAGGTTTTTGTAGAAGGCTATGAAATGGCTTTGTCTACGTGTTGCTATTTCAAAATCAACTCTCCGTAAGGTCATCCTTGAACACATATTGTTTAATAGGGGCTTCCACGAGACCAGTTCTTGCAGTAAGCATCTGTGCTGTTTTCAGGAGGAAGCCCGTTCACCAGGGGCTTTTGCTACGGGGCTTCGCAATTGAAACGCATATTTCATTTCAAAGAAGCAATGTTTTGTTCGCTGTAGGGAACGACGGATGAGCGTTTATTTATCCTTCTTGAGACGCAATCCTACCAGTTGTGAGATGGCGACAGTGCTAGGCTGCACATATTCCACAATCATCAAGTAGTATCTCCATGATCTTGACTATAGAGCATCGTGTTCGCAATCGGTACCAGTGGGCCCCTCAGTATAATGCGGCAAACCGTATGATTTCCTCCCTTTTCGGTCTAAGAGGAACCTCTTGACGGTAATAATAATAGTAGTTTGTAAGAATAGCTTTATCAGGGTGGGCCACAACCCCACACGTAAGTTCGCTCATCGGTACCCTATGTCAACCTTTTTCACGATGGAGCGTGCACGCGTATGGCGAAGATTCCCATCAAATATCATGGATTGTGGATGAGAACTATGTAATTTGGTGCACAGCTACTCGGTAGACTCAACCTCTTCTACTAGTAATTGATGCACCGAAGCATTATCAAGACGGCAGAGTTTGACGACCAACGTTAATTCGATGATGGAGTTGATAGCTTCTTTTCATTGCATTCATCGAATCCTGAAGCAAAGTTGAAAAGCAACCTGGAAGATGAAAAAGCCTTCTTCGCTCGCGATGGTGACACTCTAGTTGATTGATTGTCTCATTCATTGAAAGGATGTCTAGTCAAAAATTTCATACGAAAGGTCGCAGAACTTTCTATACAACCCAAAACAATTTATTCAATAGTTGTTGGAAATGGGTGAAGAAAAGACAAAAACTTCCATTCATTTGTTTATTATCCTTTCAGTAACAGCTTTTTTTTTGCAGTTTATTTTCTGTTTATTGGGGGAATTTACTCCTTCTGTGCGCTCATTGATCAACAATGTTTCGACTTCCGAGTTCTCATACCAGCTATCGTTAGCAGGATTCAGTAATAAGGTTAGTAGATATGACGTTGGTTTTGGAGCGCTTTTATAGTGTTGGAAACTTCAATCCTCAAAGATAAAAAAATCGACTGTTCCCCGAGTCCCTCAAAAACCTTTTTTTATTCCAGAAGGTTGACATGGTTTTCTGTGCTGAAAAGAAGGAGCTGTTGTGTTCACAAGAAAACAATCAAATATGGAATTTTTTAGCAGCATTCATCTGCTGCGTTTTAACATTTGCAGGTATCAGTACACTGGTTTGAATCTCATTCTCCCAATGGTCGAAACAAAGGAACTATTACAGCTGTCCTCTTTGTTCAAAACTGCGTCGTCTATGGATTCGGAAAACGGCAAGCGGCAAAGGAATATAGAAGAAGGGAAAATTACGAAATGAAAACGTTGAACTCCTGAGCAATTTCCAAACGTGTCCTGGAAAACATGTATTTATGTACATAAATTTTTCATAGAAACAAAATATGTTACGAATTTGAGTAATCTTAAACACTAAGGGCTCCCTATAGTGAGAAAATCTCAGAGAGGCTAATCTATTTACGTAGTCCTATTTGATTATTCCTTTTGTTTACAGACTAGCTTTTGCAATTCCTTCAAGGCATCGTTGCTTTCCTTCTTCGCGTAGATGCGTTATTTGTATGATCAAAGATAGTGCCCGAAGTTTCATGCACGAAAGCTCAGGTTCCGAAAACTAACACTTTCTCTTCAAACCACGTTCTGAAACAAAATGAAACAAAACATCTAGGCAGATCATGATACCGTGAAAAGAGCACTGAAACACAAAGGCGGGGGAAGGACTATAATAAGCATGCAGTAGGGATAACCTCAGAAGATTTACTGAATTCTTGATGAATATTCCCGAAACTTTGATTAGTATGTGATGCCGTTCGGGCTGGATTGAGGACCGAGGCTCGGGTCTGGAGATAGAAGTGAGCGCCAGGACTTTTTTTGAGTGAGTTCTTCCTTGGGTGAGTGGGTTTTCCGGGCAAATTTACTCGACGTGACTTACATATTTTGCCTAGGAGTCTTTCTCGGGACAAACAACTAAATCTTTGTGAAAAACCCGTGCCCTAAAGGCAAGCTCGAGAAACTGGGCTGGTAGCCATTTCATAGTGACGGTAAGTTGCGGAATGAAATAAGGTGGAAAAGGAAACGAGAGAAATCATTAAAAACACTAAATTCGAGGCCTAAACTTTTTAGAAGATCGGATGTGGTTCGACGGATGCTCAGAGCGACCAGATAAGCGAAGTTCCAAGTTGCGTGAATGGCGCATCGATAGGCTTCTACCCTCTGCTCTGCCTACAGAAAGGATTGATTAGTGTTCTTATCTTAGGCATGTCTTGGAGCTTTTTCCGAAGTTTCCAGTACAGCATACTGGATGTGAATGGGACCTCGATAGCGATATTCCAGTATGAACGATGGCTTTATATTTTTGAAGTACAGACTTCAAGGTTCACGGGTATTCCAACAGCATTGGAAATGCTTCTCTCTCCATACAATCATCAATAGGAGCGGAAATGACTGAATTGGAACTTTGGATACCGCACCGTGGAGAGAGTTTGGAATAAACGCAAGGCTAAGGACATAACCTCTTATGTTAAAACGTGAACGCTTTCGAACAAGCGTGGAGTGGAATAGACATTGCCGATGAATGCGTGAAAACGTGACGATGGTTGACTACCTTATTATGGAAGCCAGAATAGTTGATCCTCAACACATCAGCTTCATTCGCACTATGTATGTGCACTGATGAAAACTTTCAAATGCATCCCCTCCTTATACGTTTCACGCGTTCTCTGTCCAAAGATCTTTGTAATGTTTCTGTGGAACATCTTTCAATTATACGTTCGGAGAATGTTCATACCTGCGTATTTCCTAAACGACTAACAAGGAAAGCTCTCTTCGAACGCTTATCTCAAATCTACCTTCCAAATCTGCTAAGTAAGGTCGTTTGAAATATTTATCACTGATTTTGAGGAATGCTTGCGATGGCATTAAAAGAAAGAACGGCGATCATACTTCCAGATATTGAACATTTGCGAAGGTCTTTCGGGAGACGCTCATCTATTAGGTTGTCTCACAAATAGTGTCGCTTTTTTTCAACCAAAAAATTTTCATCCAAATCCTCATGCTTTTACACCGAGTCATATACCATTCGAAAGAGAATTGTCTGCTCTACAAGAATCGTGTTCTTCTTCCATCTATGTTCAATGGTTTTCAAATTTGAGGCTGCGAAATGGGAGGTCCCGCCGACAAAAATTGACCAAACCGACAACTAGCTCTAACTTTATGTTCCCTTCGGAGAAATCAATCAATGATGTACCCTCTACTTACTCATGACCTCTTCTGAACATTCCACCCTTAGGTTGCCGAAAAAGGTTTGCTGCCTGTTTCTTTTCGAATTGGCCGACCGATAAGCCATGGCAATTTTCAAATTGAAATTCTTCCTCTGAAACGCTATTGTTTTATATCAACTGGTGTATCTTTTGTGAGCACTTCTTCTGCTCTATTCGCTCATTTGTTTTGTTTTAATGTTTGTTAGGAATTAGCTCGAATTTTAGGTGTTTAGGAGTAAGGTGCTTTATCCACGAAAGTGACCGCATTTCTTTGAAAAAAAATTATCCTTGAGAAGATGAGAAAATCAACCAGGCGTACATTCCTAACTTAGTCATGACTTGTTCTTTAAATTCTACTAGTTTTCAATGTCTCGGCTATAAAAAAATTTCGACCTCGATCTCAGGTAATGGTGCTCGACCGTCGAGTTCTGGTTGAAAAACCAGGTCTGGAAATGGAATGACGCGACTTGTTGGGAAACCTAATAGTGTAATGTTTAGAAGAGGTCATGCATAAGTAGAGGGTACATCATTGATTGATTTCTCCCAAGGGAAGATAAAGTTAGAGATAGTTGTCGGTTTGGTCAATTTTTGTCGGCTGGACCTCCCATTTCGCAGGCCTAAAATTTGAAAACCCTGGAACAGAGGTGGAAGAAGAACACAGCATCTTGTAGAGCAGACAATTCTCTTTCGAATGGTATATGACTCGATGTAAAAGCATGGGGATTTAGATGAAAATTTTTTGGTTGAAAAAAAGCGACACTATTTATGAGACAACCTAATCTCTGTCGCTTACTTACTGTCTATCGTATCTGCTGGAGTAAACACGGTTTGCTGCATAAACCTCTGTACTTTATTCACAGCCTCATCTAGGGAATATTCTTTTATTGGGGGCAGATATCAAGTTGTAGAATGACTCCAAAAGGAGTGAACCGAGTCAGCAATAACAGCTCCCCAATGTTAGTTTGTAAACGAGCAGAGGAAAGAGGTAAGTGGAGTGTTTCACAGTCTATCAACTGAGTGGTAGAGTGAAGCAGAAAAAAAATAACATACAAGACACTTTTGTCATCGACGTCCAATGGCTGGGGGTCGTATTTCGCCAATTGAAGAAAAGTCGCATGGACGAGGTTCCTCAGAAAAGTGTGTGTTTCATGGCTCAAGGTGTTGAGGAAATACTTGACAGATGCGTCAAAGTGAGAATCAGCTCTGGACTTACCTGCAGCAGCACACGATTATTGCTAACTACTACCCACTAGCTCACAAGCGATAGGTGAGCGAGACTCCCCCTTGTCTCCCTGCCTCAACCGAAGATGCGTGCGTGGCGCATCTCAGGACAGGGATATTTCTCAAAAACGGCTCATATTCGGTTGTTTGGGCGCACATATAGTCTCCTAGAGAGAACAAGATGCGTGTTAAAACAGAGGTTAAGAAGGAGCAGTCTCTTGGGAGATTGACATCTCAGGGCTCAGAAGAAATTTTTGAGAAGAGAAGTTGTATATTGCTGAATTCGCTGCTCAGATACAGTATGTACTTCCCAAAACGCCTTCACCCATAATGCACGAGCTCGCTGCTACAAACTTTTTTTAAAAAAATCGTTACCATCCGAAATTGAAAGCTCTTGTACACGAAAAGTGTACGGGAACACGAGAAGGGAAGGAGCGATGAGATAAGGATTGCGGATAAAAGTCGCTATATCTTCTGTACATTTTGATGTAAGCACATGTGCACCTATCTCACCCTGGAGCAGGGTCAACCGGGCGTTGCGCAGATTTCAAAATTTTCACGATCCCCTACCGGAGGGTTTTAGTACGACCCCATTGGCTATGTTTTTTTCACATATTTAGTGCTCTATCAGTGGCTGTATTTGCCTTGACCGACGTGGAGAGGTTATGGACGGTGGTAGGTCCGTGCGCTTTGTCTCGCTCAGATGAAGGAGTCGAGGCAGCGTGAAATTTTGCCCACTAATGGAAGCAAATTCGAAGTTTTGCGTTAACCTAGGCATGGTAGTATCTGCATTTCTGGATGTAGATTTCTACTTCCAGAAGTCAACCAATTTCTCGGTAATCTCTTTTTTCATAAACTGAACATAACTAAACATCTCAGCATTACGTTCCTATACAAGCCTCTTCATGTGAAAGGTTATATCTTTATTCAGAATCATGTGGTACACAAATTTGAAAACTTCAAATTCTTTTCTCTACAGAAAGTTTTGAAACTTCGCAAACGTTCAGTTCTGCAAAAAACCGTCCCATTGTTTCACTTTTTGTGCACACGCGGGTTTTCAGGATTCAAACGTTCATACCCTCATTCCTTCATTTTGCACCACCGTGTGTGGCGGCGTTTTATTTCGCTCTGGTTTACATACTTCTTTTTCTTATCTGTTTACCTATTTCAACTTCTTTTTAATCACGTTCTCAGTACCACTTCCCACCCTCTTCTCGGAAAGGGATAATTTGCTGTTCGTTCAACCCTCGGAGGGCCCCGGTTGCTTTCTCGTTCGTTTTTTCCGACGGCCAGGAACGATTCGATTTTATTGATCTGACCACCATGGCTCGAGGTGGCAAAGCGAAACCTGTGGAACAGGATCAAGACATGCCCATCTGGGCTGCCATGATGATTGAGAAATATGAGACTTGTTGCGAAAAGATCGAGAGGGCACTGACGTCATCCTTAGATAAGCTGATAGCCGAAGTCGCAAGGATAGACAGAGTGCAGGAGTCAATCCTTTCTCGCCTGACAGCCAGCATTGAAGCATTGAGGACATCCTCGCCTGTGACTCAGAGCGCACTATACTCCACAATAGTAAAGGTTCGCGCAGATGAGTCGAAGATCGACGACAAACTTCGCAGGATTGCTTGGGTGGGAGTCGGCGAACAGAGGGATGACGTAGCGACTCGGAAGTTCGATTACCAGGCCCTAAAAGAGGTGATTGAGACATCAGGCGACGAAGAGCTGAAATCCGAATTCGAGAAAGGAGCGATCACCTCACATCGTCATCCCAAAGGACAACCGAGAGGTGTGAACGCTAGAGGTCGAATAATTAAGATTGAGCTGCCGAGCAAAACCCTCAAGGATCGCTTGTTGATGCACATGAGATCAGGGCGGCAAAGCCTTACTAGGGAGTTTGTACATTCGTACGCTCGCCGCGACTACACAGAGGAGGAGCTCTCTCTCGATCGGAAACTGAGAAAACAGGCAGGGGAGCTGAACAGGAAAACAGGGATGCTGACATTCGTTGTGCGCGACCTGGAGATCCACAAATTGCGGAACCCAAGAGAACTTCCAGCTCGCCCGGATACAAATTCTCAGCGCACTCCGAATACCCCACCAGCTGCCGCTTCAGGATCAGTGCTTATCGGAGGCACTCAGGGACGTCTAGCAGTCACCCTCATGGGCTGGTTTCTACACCTCACCAGCGGGAAACAAACATGAGCTTGGCAGCCCGGGAACCGTCTTCTAGGATAAGGCGGTCGTCAATAGGTGTCCTCGTTCTGAACTCTCTAACTGCTGCATATTGATCAATGCTCGTTCTATCAACAACAAGATACCCGACCTCCACAATCTCCTGTTATCCAACCCTAGGGCAGTTTTCGTCACTGAATCTTGGGTCAAGCCTCATCTAGTACAGGACTCCGCGATCCGCGCTGATTTCCCTTACCAAGTGTTTCGTTGCGACCGGGAGGGTGAGATCATGGGTGGTGGTGTCCTTGCCCTCGTCCACGATTCTACACCAGCTACTTTGCTGTCGTCTTCAAATTTTTCACCTTACCTTCAATGCTTATCTATACAGTTTACAGTTGCCGCTCAGAGGGTCATTGTTAAGTTTCTTATCGGAGTCCTTCCTGCACAGTTGACAGCTTCCAAACTTTCGTTAACTACTTGGAAGAACTAAGTGAGAAAAACACTCCTACCTTAATTTTGGGCGACTTTAATTATCCGGACATTACTTGGGAGCACCCACACCCTCCAATATGAGGACGATAAACTCTAGCACAGGGATGCTTCTCTACAACTTTGCAAAGTCACACAATTTCGAGCAATATGTCAACTCTCCAACCCATCATAAGCATACGCTTGACCTCGTTCTTTCAAACAACTCCAACCTCCTTGCCAACGTAGAGGTTAGGGCCCCTTTCTCTACATCTGACCACGCCTCCATTTCTTTCAGAATAGTAGGGGATAGTCCTAATCGAAGTTGCTCTAAAACGTTCAAAGATTTTGCCCGTGGGGATTACGTGAGTATCTGCGAACAATTATTATGTGTTGACTGGCGGCGCGTTTTTGATTCTCTAGAAACATCCACTCTTTGTTATCAAACGTTTGTTAATTACTGCCTTCATTTAATTAGTACGTTCGTACCGAATTGTAGTAAAACTCATATCTCAAGAAAAGAGCCGCGGCAGATTTCACTCCTGAAGAGGCGTGTAATGCGACTGTATTGCAGCGGGCGAGGGATTCGCGATCTGGGTTACTTGAAGGCAGTCAGAACCCTCAAAATGAAACTACAAAAACTCAAGGATAAGCATGAGACGGAAATCGCATTGTCTAAAAACCCTAAAAGATTCTGGAAGTATTGCTCTATAAGGCTTAAGGACTCCTCAAGCATAGGTCCAATCCTTGACCACAACAATAAAGAGTGTTCTTCTGACATTGAAAAAGCTGAGGCTTTTGCGATGTATTTCAAAACTTTTTATACCCGGAAGGTAACAGAAACGATTCCCCGGCCTGGTGACAGCAGAGCAACGCTTGATTGGGTAGATATTACTTCGGAGGACGTTTTTCGAGCTCTGAAATGTTTACCTTTGCGTTCGTCTACATCGCCTGACATGCTTCCGTACATATTCCTCCGTAAAGCGGCTCTTGGGCTCACCTCACCTTTAACTATACTGTTCAACAGAATACTTCTGAGGGGAGACGTCCCAGACATCTGGCGTCTTGGCTGGGTGAAACCCATACATAAGAAAGGTTCCAAAAGTGATTTTAGAAATTACAGACCCATTTGCCTGACATCTTGTGTCAGCAAATTGATGGAAAGAATCGTTTGCTCCGGATCAAGGAATATCTTTCCAAGAATCGCCTCATATCTCCATGCCAGCACGGATTCCTACCTAACAGATCCACTTTCACCGCTTTAGTATTCACCATTCCCTTATGTCAATCCCTTTGAATCTTTTGTTCTTCAAATTGAAAATATTCGGAATTTCGGGTTCGCTGCTAAAATTTCTTATTTCTTTTTTGTGTCATAGAAAGCAGGCCGTTGTGATCAACGACGCCCGTTCAAAGCTGTACGAAACATTCAGCGGAGTGCCTCAGGGCACATGCCTAGGCCCCTTGATGTTTTTGATGTACATAAACGATCTTCCACGGTTCCTGCCTGATACTATAAATTGCACAATGTATGCGGACGATGTCAAATTGTTCTCTTTCAATGAGCCGCATACCCTACAGCGCTCACTGGAAGCACTGCGGAAATGGTCAAAAACGTGGGGCCTAGAAATATCCCTTGAAAAAACGTATGTCATGAAAATAGGAGCTAGCTTTGAGAACTACGAGTTTCTACTTGATGGAGCTCCTATCAAAGAGCCTTCATTTATCAAGGACCTCGGTCTCAAATATGACAGAACGCTCTCTTTCGACGGATACATGATCAACATAATAAGTTTAGCCAAGTCGCGATGTAACACGATCCTTCGAGCTTTTTCTAGTAGGCATATAAGACCACTATTCCTACTTTTTCACTTCGTTCCTTTTTCCCTCGATGACATTTTAAGGCCATTCTCTGGAGACGCGAGTTTTCAATCTTCAAATGACCGTAGGGTTGTTATCGGTACACTGAGAAGCGGTAAAACTATTAAAATCAACAGGATCAGTACTATATAGCATATGCTAGATTATCTTGGAGGAGAAATCCCTCTCCTGCCATAGAGTCTCTTAGTACTCCAAAGGTAAGTCAGCCGAAGTTCGCTGCTTTTCCCTCCACTTTGATTTGTTCTAAAAGCATGGAATTTCTCTGGAAACATTTTTCGCTTGTGCTCACTGGAACATGACGTATTTTAGTAAGAAATTCGCTCTGGGATGCGCCATTCAATCGTCTGTGGTGCGTAGTCGCAGTGGTAGTTGAAAGTCTGTCCTCCTTTGCCACTTAGCCATGCCTTGACACCTTCAAATGTAATTGGTACTTGTAGTTACGGCACCCCCTCCTTCCATTGACCAAATACGATCCCGTCGTTGTTCATTGCGCAACGCGCAGTTGAACCTGCGCCTGCCGATCGAGAGAGCGCGACAGCACAATGTACTATACAGCAGCGCTCTCCATTTTTTTTAAGATTCAGATCTTTTTGAAATGCTCTGCCATGTGCGGAAAGAAGGGACTAGCAAGACTTGAAGAACGGGAGACAGCCGCAAAGTTCGAAAATCGACACGGGCGACATTGAAGCTATACAACTTACTCAAAACAGTTCTTCTACCTCTTATCTCCCCACTGCTTTAGGAACTCGATTTTACTACGTTGTTCCACAGACGAACTTCC